AAGTTCTTTTCATTTTCCCAGCCTCTCAGAGGCTTGTTTTGGAATCAACATGGGGACCCTTAGGGAAACAGCAGTTGTAATTCTGGGCCCATCTCTGGGTTTTGTCTTCCGGATCTTGACCTTATTATTTTATTTTACACTGCTTAGCTAGGTCTCTGATGCCTTCAGGCCAGGGTTTTCACATTTAGGGAAAGAATTATAGGATATTTAAATTTGAATTTAAGATAAACCATGAGTAATCTTTTAAATATATTTCATGTAATAATTGTGATATACTTATACTGTAATTTATTGTTTATTTATCCAAAACTCAATTTTAACTGTACGTCTTGTATTTTATCTGGAGACCCTACTTTAAGCAGATTAATTTCTGTATTTTTCTAGCTTTTTTAGTTATTCTTTAAATTCCCTGGCACATGATGACTGGAGAGGGAACTTTACTTTTGAACTTGAGTTATAAAAAATTTCTGAAAGACAGCTCATTAAATGAAGAGTTAATGCATTTACTAAAATTCCAGCTCTGCCTTGAACCACATGTGTGACCTTGAATAATTAGCCCTTAAATTTTGGCCTCATTTTCCTTAAATGTAAAATAGGATTGATAGGTGACATTTATTGAGGCCTGATTCTTTTTCAACTATTTTGCTAAACACATAAAAAAGAAAGATTTATAATAATTGCCTATACATCAGAAGATTGCTATGAAGATCAAATTAGAAGTTGGTGTGAGTGGTTAAGTATATATTAAGTGCTAGTGAATTAAGGTCAATGTACATCATAACTTTTCAGCTTGCTTACTCCCAATCGGCTACCCTCATTGAATACTGAATCTCAAGTCTATAGCAGGTCTGCTGAGCCCTCAGAAGCGTAGTAAGACCAATTTTCTTGATTCTTTAAATAATACTACAGCTGAAGTGAATCGGCCTGTACTTTCTGAACACATTCTCCAAAATAAAAACTAGTTACAGAATGCATATTTATAAGGTAAAAACTTCAGTTTTGCTCCACTTCATTAATAAGCTGATCCTCCCTGGTCAAATTTGAAAATAAATCATGTGTCAGGCAAAAATAACCAAAAGATTAACGAAACCTGTTTTAAGGTTACCACTATCCATATAGTGTTAAGATGTCAATTTCTTTCTCTGGAAAGGCAAGAACTACACTCCTTGATGAGTGGAGAATGGGTTGGATTTCAACACGCCATGCAGTCTTTGGTTGGATGCCCTCATGTTAGACATCCCTGAGCACTTGTCCATGTCAGCCCCATTGACTTAAAAAGACAACACATAACTTCTTCGTATATACTATGCCCAGTACATTAATCTACTTGTTCTACATGACAATAGTACCTGAAACAATAAGTATGCAGTAACATTAGCACTCTGTAGTGAGGCAAAGACTAAGAGAGTCCTGTAGCTTACAAGAGCAATGAGAGCTGATTCAAGAACTGAACTCCCACTTATTCCATCTCACAGTCCTTTCCTTTCCTTAGATCACTCTGCCTTCCTAGACTTCTGTTGCTGCACACATAAACATTCCACATAAACAATGAGACAGACACCTGTGTTCAGTGGATGCCTTGTACTTTGAAGAAGTTTTTAAATGATTGTTATCATTTTACCTAGAAAAGCAGAGAAAGGCAGAACTAGTGTAGGTCTTCCTAGACAAAGTGTCTGAAATGGTGACCAAAAATCATTTAATATTTTTTGGCCTTTGAACCTTGATATTTTTCTCAGAGAGAGCAATAATTTTTAACTGCAGAAGCTACTTTATCTGCACTTGAACAATTCCAAAAATTTTCCAATATTAGGCTTAGGAAGTGTGTGCTCTCCATGTAGAATTAGGACTCAACAGGACAGGGTATCTCCTCCTGGGTTACTCTAAAATGGTTACATCACTAGACAATACAGTAGTACCTTGGTTCAGGAACTCAGTGTTCTCCACGATTCTGATCACAAACCAAACTGGATGAGAGCTAAATCAAACTTCCCCATAAGGTCAACAGTGAACCCAACCATTGAATTTAATTTAATTTGGTTCTTGTCCAACTGATTGGGGCTAACATTTTTGATCTCTAGTTTTCAGGGCTGATTATTTTTCAGATAGGTCTTATTTTGGGGGAAACATGGTATGACTAAAACAGTTGCTTGAGAAAAAATAAAAACAGCCTTTGTCAACAAGTCCTCAAAAGGAGGACACCACACTTTGAAGGAGTCCATGAATTCTTGGCTCAATATAGGAAATAATCTCCTACCTGGCAATAGGATTTAATACACAGGTGTGTGTAATTTCCCTGATCTTTGTGCTCAAAGGCATTCAAATAATTTTTATCTTTGAATGAAAAGCAGTAGTGCCTGTCGCAGATGACTGTTATCTCAGTGCTTCTTCTACCCAGCTAAGCTTAAGATGAGGCCTTCTGGCCCCTGCATGCCGATCTCCTGGGAATCTATTGGCAGAGTAACTCATGCACTAAACAGCACTAACTCCTTGTGATTAGATAGCTGTATCACTCACTGCTTTATGCAGGGTCCATCCATGATTCCTGACCTATAAAAAACCTGGCTCTCAGCTGAGACTGTTGGATCTGAGTGTGTAGACCTTAACATGGGGACAACTGGGAGGAGTCTTGGAGAACAGGTAGAGAATGAGTTTATTAGATTGTTCACCAAGAGCTGGAAAAGAGAGTCAACAGATATGCAAAATACCTGCAGGGAAAGAACGCCTCAGGAAGGAAACAGGAAGTATATTGACGTAAGACCACGTCCACTAAAGGGGGGCCGTGAGCACACACGCATCCTTTAGCCACTGGGAAGTCTTAAGAACCACAACTTAATGGATTTCAAATATTCCAATAGTTCATTAAAATTAGATGGAAAATGTTTCGCTAGTAATCAAATAAATGAAATGAAAAGGATAATGAGATTCTATTTTAAGCTTCTTTTTTTTTTGGTACCAGAGATCGAACTCAGGTCCTTGCGCTTGTGAGGCAGGCGGCAAAACCACTAAGCTAAATCCCCAGCCCTTTAAGCTTATTTATAATTGATAATACTTAGTGCTAACAATGGTCAGTATCTTGATGTTACATTTTCTGGTGGAAGTGTAAACAGCTGTTTGGAAAGCAGTTTGGGCACAGGAAGAGAGCATTCTTCAAATATTCATATCTCCTAACCCAAGGGAGACTATTGTAATATTTATAACTTCTCCATCAAAGAATCTTTCTGTATCTGGTTTAGGTTTAGCGACATATGACGGGAATCCCTAAATAACAATGGTAAACAACATAGATGTTATCTGTGAGGGAAGCTGCAAAATATAGGCCTTAGTTGGACATTATAACCTAAAACAAAATTCTATTACTAAGGAGGAAAAGGAGAAAGAAGGTTGGATAGGTAACTACTGTGTTTCCCCAAAAATAAGACCTAGCTGGAAAATAATCAGCCTAGAAAACTAGAGATCAAAAATACCAGCCCCAGGGCCAGGGATGTAGCTGAGCACCACAGTGGCCTCTGCCTGGCAGGTGCCAGGTCCTGAGTTTGATTCCCAGTACCCGCCCAAATGGCAGCCCCAATCAGCCTGTCCTCGCCTTACCTGCCTTACAAAGTAGGCACCAAGCAAGAGAATAGTAATGGCAACTAAGGCAAGGACAGGCTGATTGCGGCTGGCATTTTTGATCTCTAGTTTCCAAGGCTATTATTTTCCAGCTAGGTCTTATTTTCAAGGAAAGATGGTAGCAATTTTTGCTCCATTATCAAAGTAAACATACTTGAACTTTTCAAATGATTGATAAAATGTCATTCCTTTTTTAGAAAAAAGCCCAAATTTTCAAAAATAGGGGAATATTCACAAATTATAATTCTATTCAGTTGTTTCCCAAAAGAATCCTATCTACAAAGTCTAAAACAATAGCTCACTATGCTGAAGAAAATAAATTTAAAAACAGCATGAGTGAAGTTGATACTCTGAAGTATGCCAAAAAACCTCATAGAAGATTTTATTTACTGTATACTTTTGTTCTTTTTCCATATGAGTATACCTTAAATGATTAGTAAGAAAATTGCAAGCATTATTTTCTTAAATATTATAATTGAAAACGATTTCCCATATTTGAGAAATAGGATTGCAAATTGCAAATTCCCCAGGTTGTTCCCAACAAAATAAATATAAAGGGACTAAGACACAGCATGGTAAATTTTTCAGATTTTAAGAAACCAATCCTGTCAATTGTGAATTGGGGAAATCAGGTCACCATCGAATAACCTAAATTTAGGTTGCCTGCCAATGTTCTTTTCTACAAAACTGAATGCCAGAAAGCAATGGAGTCACATCCTTGTTCATTCACTGTGTTGTCACTGTCACCAACATATCTGAGCCCTTAATTGAACTCTGTAAGTATTTTTATTTGCTTTTACCCTCTTAGAAGGTGTACGTTTTGGTTAGTTCTATTTTACACCTAAGGAACATATGGTACAGAGAGGTTAGGAAAATGGATCACTATCCCACAGGCTGTAAATAGTAGAGCTGAAATCCAAACACAAGTAGTGTGATTCTTAAAGCAAAAACTTTCCTGTTTATCATCCATAGAAATTTGAAGAAAAAGGTTGCGATGCAAAGAAATTGTGCATTAACATGTCATTAACGTACCCGACCACATACTTCAATAAATGCCTTAAAATTTCCAAGATATTAATTGCAATCATTTAAATAATAGGAAATTATTCAAGAAAGGGGTTGTAGGCATCAAGGTTTTAAACTTCTAATGAGAAGCAATAAGTTCTAGGGAGATAAGATGGGTGGTCACAGAAAGGTTAAGGCCAAAGCAGTTTTTCCTAACATATTTTTAGGAAGAAGTCAGGCCTGCTCATGAGGCCATGTGTAGAGCATCATTGCTGAGTGTGGCCTGGCTGGCTGGGGAAGGAGTAGGCTGCTGTCCCTGGGCTGTCCTCTCTGCCATGGCTGAGCTATATCGTGCTTCTCAGTCTCCTTTCACTTCTGTCTTTCAGCTGAAACTAAGATCTGCTTCAAATACTACCATGGAGTGAGTGGAGCCTTGCGAGCCACCACCCCCAGTGTCACGGTCAAAAACTCAGCGGCTCCTGTAAGTCCTGGCTCTTCCTCTTTAATCAGACCTACCTCTGATGCTTCTATCCTGCTTTGTATTCTGGTGTGTGCTTTTATGTGTGTGTGTTTGCATGCATGTACACACACATATACAGAGACACATTGATTGATGGGTTAAGAATAGACAGACACATTTCAAAATAGTGAAGAGGAACTCATGTTGGCAAAGGATGTGCCACTTGTTTGTTAGGGGAATGCCAAGCTCCAGTAGTTCCCTAGACAGCCAAATGTTTCTACTAGAGAAGGGCTTAACAACAGTAAGTATTACTTTGGAGCTTATTTTTTTAATTTGTTGATTTTAAATATTTACATTTTCCTATGTTTTCATTTTGAGGCTTATAAATAATAGAATAGAATTTATTGCCTCAGATTGATCTAAGTCATAGGAGTATGAAATGGTTGGCTTAAAAATTACCAGAATCTCTCTCCCTTTGCTTCTTTATATAAATAAGGACACTATACCTAAGGGGCCTAAATAAGGTGCCTCAGATCACACAGTTAGCCAAGTGCCCATCCAGAATTTAAATCACATGTTTTGTTTTTTACTTTGTTGCTCTGGTCAGTCTTATGGTAATAGATGCCATCTTTTCCTAAATTACAGTGTGGTCTTAATCCTTGCAGTGGTTCTTACTTAATTCCCATGTACCAGATGAGGCTAGCTGAAATCTACTTGGAAATGGTGTTCCTTTTCCTTTTCACATGAATTAAAAATGACTAGCTGAGAAGGCTGAACAAAAACCAGTGAAGATTTGGTCATGCAAGTGGAAGTAAAAAAGAAAGATCTTTGGTATGCAAAAAAAAGAAAGAATAGTGGAAGCATTTGAAATGTAATATAAATGATTCAGAAAAGACACTGACTAAAAAAACTACCATTTTGCCATTTCACAAATAAGTTCAACAGGGTGTTGAAGATGTGCTGATGGAAGCCTCAGTAATAAGTGGTAAATTAAGCAGGCAGACTGCAGAGCCTGAATACTATCTGCCTCTCTCCTAAGAGGTCCAGCAGGACTGGATGCCGGGCTGAGTTTACCAGAGGGGATGCACGGGGGAGAAGGGAGAGACAGGAAGAGCCATGCATGCTTTATGGTTGCCTTTTCTCCCTACAATGGCCATGTATGTGGGAACATGGTGTCTGTCACTTCATCTCCTGGGTGGGACAGGAGTTTAAACGTGGAATCTGAAGAAGTATCCTCAGAGCTCCAAGCCCCCTTCCAGGACCATGTTTACAAAATAGGATACCTCCCAAAGTCAAAAGGATCCTGATACATGTTACCCAACCATTGAGGCTGGAATGTTAGTTACTTAAGGCGAGAGAGAGAGAGAGAGAGAGAGAGGAAACCAGAGTTGGATGGACAATCAGGAACACTTTGAATATATACCACACAAAGATAGAAGGAGCCAGACAGTGGAAAAAAGCCAATCCAGAAAAGTCTTCTGTGCTTACATCTGGCCTTTCCCACCACATAGCAAGTCACTCATGGAGGCTGATTCTTGCCACACACATTGCTCCCTCATCAAGGCAAGGGCTCTCCCACTGATGGGACTGGTTGGCTCAAGGCTGGGACAAGAGAGGAGAGATCCTTGCTTTCACCTGCTCAGGTATGATATCATGGTGAGTGTGGACCAGCCATGGAATTCACTTGTAATTTAAAGAAAGCTCCCTAAAGTATTTGGTTTCTCTGAACTCAGCCTACTGGAGGCTCCAGATGTTTTCCTGGTTCTTGGAGCAGTTTATAGTGTGACCAACATCACCAGTGAGGGCCAACAAAAGCTTAAAATGAAGCAAGACACCAACTCCCTGGAAAACAGTCTTGGAACAGACAGGAAACGATCCAACACTGGATCAAGTATTAGCACGTACATGCTTTCCAGGGGCTACAATCACCAGAAACAAGGACTAACTTACATCTGAGAAGTGAAAACAAGGTGCTTTGGTCATATTATTTGACATAAAAGTCCAGGAGATTGCATGGATGCTACTCCACCTGGCTTCATCTTTGTCATTCTGTGCATGCTGCTGTTGCTGGTACTAAAAATTCAGACACCTTGAAATATTCTGACATATTGCTTTTGTCCTATCCTCGCCACCTTGATGATTTTCTCATATACATCAACAGACACTCGGGTTGACTCTTCGTGTACATCCTGCAGCCAACTTTTGTTCCTCTCTCTCTCTCACTTTTTTTTTTTTAGGTACTGGGGATTGAACTCGGGTCCTTGCGCTTGTGCAGCAGGCAGCGAAACCAAATCCCCAGCCCCCAAAAATGAAAATGTTCCTCTTTTTAATCACCAAGCATGTGAAAGCCTGATCCTAAGGTCCATGTGATGTCAGGGACAGTGATCTTGGGTGTCCACTGCCACACTGTGACAGTAAGCAAAATCCCAGGCAGAGGGATCATGTAGTTGGGCTTTATGGTACATAAGCTATCATTGCCTTTACTGTTGGATAGTTTCTTTTGCATTGCTCTTGTTGGTTCCCCGCACACATAAGGCAGACAGGGAGAATATTTTCGTTAAGTGACCATTTGGCTATATGGTGATGGAATGGAACCCAACTTAGCTTACAATTTGCAAGCCAGTTTGGTATAATTTACTTACCTTCTGGATTGCATAAGCCTTTGTGATCTGGTCTAAGAACCTAGGCATGCTGTTTCTAAGGGGAAATGGCATTAAGTTGCCCCAAATCCATTTGTCAGTAGACTTTGACTATCCACTTTTGAATTGAGTGTGGCTGGTGCTACAACAAACTTCTATGAAAAGTTGCTGTCAGTAGCCATTCTATTGTGTCAGTCAGTTTATTTGTACAATATGCTAAAATGGTAATGCTTTGAAAAAGAGGAATGAGATGTCAGATGCTCCTTTGGCATAATCAGCACTTAAATTTTCTGAGCCTAGTAGATTCTTGATATGTATTAGCTCTTCTCATCTTTTCTTTCTCCTTTAGCTTTGTCTAATTGGCAACAATTGAGATCTTTATTATCAAAAGAGGTTATTACCTAGTCTTACCATTCTGGAGCTCTCATTTATTTGGTAGTCCGAATCATAGATTAGAAACTGTAAGGGAAAAGAGCTATAGAGATAAATTAAATGTAAGTCTTGTCATTAAGAGCTCACAGTTACTCTAGCATCAGTTATAATACTATCTGAAATGTGCAGACTCAAGCCCCAGTGTTGGCGTGTAGCAAAAGGTGCCTGTAGCAGGAGGTGGCATATAGGCTGAAGCACGTGGCATAGATGGGACTTTACCAGGCCCAGAAGGAAAGCCACACAAAGCTGACAGCATGTGCAAAGGTCCGGTGGCATGTGTGACACTGACCTGTCAGTAAAGGAGATCTAAGTTATGCTAGGGTCTGAAGAACACATGACTATAATTTTTCCATATATCCCACTGCACGTTGTTTTTCATATGTTCTGTGTACCATTGGGAGCGCCTACCCTATGTTTTCTATTTCCTTCCATTCCCTGTACAAAAATCATTTTGATGGTAGGTTCCTCCTTGCCCTTAGTACCCTTTCTTTGTAAATTATATCTTTCTTAAAACTCTTTTGATACACATCAAAGGACAGAAATCTCTATACCTATAATTTGCCCAAAACAGGGTAGGTGTTATGGTTTAGATCAAGCATAGCCCCCCAAACTCTCCTGCACTCAGATGTGAGGCTTTTGGAAGGTGAATCATGGGGGCCCTGCAGCTGAATGTGGTGTTAGGAGGTGGAGCCAGGTTGAAAGAGGTGGTCTCTGTGGTGTGACCTGGAAGGGTGCACCTCCCTCTCCAGCGCCTACCTTTGCCTTCTACTTCCTGGCTGCCATGGAGGGAGCAGCTCTCCTCCACCCCAGGCCCTTCTACCATGCCAGTCTTGCTTTGGAGCCAGTCGTCTGTGGACTGAAAACATGAGCCAAAGTAAACCGCTCCTCAGGTTGTGGGTGTCAGGTTGTGCCTCAGCGAAGAAGACAGTGACTAAGACAGTAGTTTAAACTGCTCTCAGCCCACCAGCAGTCCACCAGGAACTTTCAGGCTTCTCCATCAGGTCTGTGTCCTGACAGTAGATTTTCACACTCACCTCTTCCCTTCTCAGAACCACCAGGCATCATCCACAGGGCCTACTGGGCCAGCGTGGGAGCCCCTCCTTTGCCCTGCCTGTCAGTTCCTACCAATTCTGGGAATTAGATGTAGTCTCCAGCCACTTCTAGCATGAGTCAGGTAGCTGAGACCCTTTGAAGTCCTGAGCACACTGCCCCCGTACCTGGTCTACACGTCCCTCCCTGAGGAGTACTCAGCTGACAGCACAGAGGACCACATCCCCACCCCACTGAGTCCGGGGGCCAGAGCTTTTGGGTACAGAAGGTAGTTTCTACTGGAGGAAAAACTGACTGGCTGAGGAGTTTGGAAAAGGCCAACAGAGAGAGGGGTGGGCTGAGGACATTATGCTCTTATTTGAGACCATCTACCCTGAGGGCTCCCCTAATTTAGAGGCTGAACCATTTATATAGTCCAAGAATGTATTTCTTATGTTGTCTTCAACATTAAAATCTATGGAAATTCCTTTTGGATTTTGTTATAGTGGATTATTCTTATCCTTATTTTAGATTTCTATTGTTTATTCTTCCATGATTTGTATCTTCTAGCTCTTTCCATGAGAAATTGGAAGACAACATACCAAGATTCTTTTGCAATATTTTTCCATAAGCTCATGTTCAGGCAATGGTTTTCCCAACTGACCAGTCAGAGGCTCAACTAGACCATGGAATGGCAGTTTCCCAGCTATGCTTTTCTTAATCATAATTTTTCATTAGTTATGCTGAATAAATAATTGCCTCAATCAAAGAAAGAGTTGGGAAGAGTTCAAAGCCATTTTCCTCAAATTGATTTAGTTAGAATCCTAGCTTTCATGATCTCACCCATTCATGCTGATACAACCATGCTCTAAAACCTGCCCTCTCACATCCAGTCTTGATCTGGAAACCTGACTTCATGAA